CACATAAACACACACATTGCCAAACTATTATCACATTATAATAACTGTGCTGAAGTAAATGTATGTAAGTAACGCTAACCTAGTCTGCTTGTTGCACTTTCTAATGCTACTACTGTCATTGAAAATAAAGTCGTAGTGCTATGGATCTTCAATTTTGTATGCGTACTTTATCGAGTGGACCGCCTAATGGTAATATACGCATTTGCTCTGTGCAAACTGAGATTATTGGGAAGAAGTCATCAATCATATCAAATGTCAGGCTTTATGATAGTTATCATCACCCCTATAGTCGACCTCGGGCTTCACAGGGGAGAGAAACGTCAAAATGAGAGAAAGACGAGAGAAGGAACTGAAGAGTAATCCACAGATGTAAAAGAGAGACAGACGGGTGCAAAAGTAGAGAAGGTAAGGTGAGTACTGCGGAAGTGACCGAAAATGCCATACAGTCGGTTCATGGCAGTTCGAAGTCAACTCCCGGTTTATAGAATTTTGCCGAATGTGTATGGGTTGCCTAGGGTGTACCACGTGGAGATAAATCTATCGCGCACCCAAAAATTTGATTAACGAGCTCGCCATATTGTTATAATGAAGCATACAACTGTAGTAATCCTCCCTCAAGCAAGTATTCTGACACCCGGTTTTTCCTTAATCAAACACCAGGATTTGTTTAGCGACCAACAGGCCACAGAACAATGTGTGCCTCCACAATGATCTGAGATCAAGGTATGACAATCCTCCCTACAGGCCCTTCTGGTCATCGGCGCGATACAAAGATGCGACCATATGTGAAGGTATGCTCACTCTGCCTATCTTTAAGTACCTCCAAATTCTTAAAGGGGAATTAGTGGGCGTCATGACCTGACTGCCTAAGCAACATCGCAACGTCTTAGCTTCTAGGAGTCACGAGTCCGTGCTCACTATCGCCTTACTATTTAAGTTTCACCCTTGGTTGTCAGCACTTTGATTAACTGCACAAAATAACTAAATTTACAACATGAACCGCATCTCTCAAGGACTTTTCTAGGCTTCATTTGATTCCTACGGCTATCTTAATGGAAAAACCAATTAACAAGTGCTTAACTGTTCACATTCAATTTCGAGAATAGCATCATTGATTTCATTGGTCCCTTTTATCACTCCATTCGCCTATTAGGACAACTACAAAGAAGACACAAAATTGTTATTTTTATAAGCAAGAGGCGGTAGATGTGCGAAAACTGTTGAATATGTCTCAATGAAGAGTGTATTATTTCGGCCAAGTAATTTGAAAGTGTGACGTGCAAAGCGAACTTGTTCACCGAACGAAATATCTCATTCGCACTCTGACGGACTCTAAGGTGCGGCCGTGCTACTTTGTGTGCAGTGAGCAAGTGCGTCGTGAGCACAGAGACTCCACGGTCTAACAAACTCTTCATTGTATTTTAACGACTGAACTCTACCACTGGCGCGCATCCCAAACAAATGTTTTTCACTTCGTAATTCTATTTCCTCTTTAGCTTTGCGGTGGTTCAGTTATTCCAAATAATAAGATCTTGACCTAGATAGGGGGGTAAAATATCACTTTGAACCTTTACCTCAAAAAATAATAATAGCTAATAAATATAATATTACATGATCGTCACGGTGTCTTAAATTAATCAAGAATTATTATATTACTTCTCCAAGCAAATATTTCATGATTTGAAGAATGCAATTGATTAACCAAATGTTTTAAGTCTTCTTATTGGTCATTTTCAAAGTACTTAACACCTGCCAACCTTTAAAATCATTTCCATCTTAAGGCCAATAACAAATGTGGGAAGTATTTCTGCAACTTTATGCAAAGTGCAGCTATTGTATATCATTTTAAAATGGAACCTCTCATTTACTAAAAATTGAACTGATCGATGAATCAAAGGATCGAATGCGGGTTAGACTTGTGGACACCCCGACTTCTTGATCCCACACAACCCCCAAACCCCCCCCCCCTTGTCTTTAGTTCGGCCTACTGATAGTCGATGTAAACTCTTCCTTTCCTAATTCAATACTTCTACAGACAGTAATCACCATTGCGACGTGAGTTCTTCTCAATTAATTCGAGGACTGTATTACAGACTTAAGCATAAACGTCCTGACTTATTTAACAGGAAAAGGACCATTTTTTCACCGCGGCTACTTCAGCCTCCTACTCACGTTGACCTTTAAACCCATTCATTCCACCTTCAGCCAACTAGAAGATGCCTCTTGGAAATATTGCTTCTCTTAACCCCCTACTTGCAGTTCCCAACACAGAATCTTAAGCACGAGTGAAGATGGGATGTCATCTCTGGAGCTATTCCTGCCAACACATTCGAATATTGATTAATCTTAAAATTTATAACCGGTTATTACAAGTTCCACCAGTAGACAATTTCTTATTTTAAGGGAGTAGATTAATTACAACATAGCACAGAAAGAGAACTATGCAAAAGCAAATTAGCAACGTTGAAGAAGATTCTTTGGCTTTGTTAGTATTCTTCTGAAAAGAAAATGTAAAGTATAAAGTGGCATTGCTAAATATTATGCAGCAGTTAAATGATCAAACAAAGTTTAATTGTTAAATACCCAGAGAGTTGAAAGTTCACATGACTAATAACCACGACAAATGAGAAATTTTTACTTTAAAAGAATTCGCTAAGTACTCAGATGGGCCAGAAACTTACTTCAGGACTATTCAATTTCATCCGTGTTTGGTGATCGTGTTAACGAGCAAAAGTGGGCACGAGTGATGACTCACCTCAGTCAAACATCAATCAATGTTTGTTGTTATCGGGTCACAGCACCCAAACCCGTAATTCATAGCCAATGACATCATTACCCACGACGCCCATTAAGAAAATCCACGTTACACGTTCTGATTCCTCGATATTGCTGGAATAGCTTTTCCAATTTCGGGAGCCATTCCAATTTAGGGGAACGTGCCATAGAGATTGTTAGGGTTTAATCAAGGCTTATTCGTGTAGCATTTCACGCCAAGTTCATAACCAAACCAGAACGATCGTGTGGGAGATATGCAGGCCAATCAAAAGTGTGCAACTATCCCTAAACATCACAGGCATTACCAGTCTTTTGAGCCGTTGATAATAATTATTCTACTTAGAAAGTGTTAAATGCAAAAATCTCAATCTGGGGTCCCGTTGCCTATGATAAAAACTCCTGTCCGCCCATATTGGATGAATATGCTCGAGAATGGGATGTGCGATAGACTTGCCTCCACGTGGAGCATCCTGGGCAATGTATACTCATACACTAACAAGTCTATAAACCGGCAGTTGACTTCAAACTACCAGGACTTCACTGCATGTCATATTCCACCATTTCCGAAGTACTCACTTTACCTCACCTTTTTCTCTATCATTTTGTCTATCTTTTTTATTTTAGATATTTATATTTTATTACTTTGATGTCCATCCCATCTGCGAAGCTCAAATTCCGCTAGAGAACTAATGATAACTATTAAAATGGCTAATATTTGATTTAAATAAATGTTAGATAATGCAACGCTGAATACTTATGAGGAAACAGGTTGGAATAACAGTAAAACAGTCTCCATTTTAAATGATCATTTTCAGTTTTTATTCATTTTTTAATTCCTCACTTGAAGAAGACATCTAATACTTCTAGGTAATCTTAGAAGATACACCATTTGTGCGTAAGATAGCCCTTGTGCAAAAGAGCTTCAACTAGTAACAAGTCGCAATGTAGTGACCGGTATTTTTTAAAAAGGTCCCTAATTCATTTCGATATTGCTAAAAGGAGGAAGATGTATTCTTTTTAGCTCAGAAAAAAAAAATAAATATCCTGAAAAAGGGTAGAAATCATGGCTGCAGACCAAATTCAGCAAATATAATAGCATAGAAAAAACTCGCCTTCCTTAATTTGGCTCTGATCTCAGCTTTAGTATACTTGGGCGTTATAACGGGGCTATCGTCTGTTTTCGCAACGACTTTTTTCCCTGGTTGAGCGGTCTTTTTCTGTTGTTGCTCCTTGTTAGGTAAGATGCGAAAAAAAGTTATTTTAATTCGTCAGTGGACATGGCATTCAAGAAAACCTACGCTTTTAGATATTTGCGGGACTGGTGGCTTAGGGACATTTTTTGGCGTGCGATTTCTAGAACGCCTTCCACGTTTTCCTAAACGTTGTTGATTGCCTCCTTCCATTCCAATTCCTTTCTCCGGTGATTCAGCGATTTCTAGCCTTGATGGGACCTTCAAAATTACATTTTACTTGTGTTTTGTAAGTTTGCAAGATATGAAAACAAGTGTCAAAAATTAGAAACTTCCGTTCATTTTTCCTATTTCAAAAAAAATCACTTACTACATCTACTAATTTAAACATAGTAGGAATTTTATTTCATCCACAGATCTGATTCTCACTAACCTCTTATTTACAAACACATTCTAATCAATCGCCCTGTCGATCGTCATATATTATTTTTATCCACCAAACAAATCATTCTCTTTATCAATCAGCTTCCTGTCTTGTTATGTGCTGATGATAGTTCATTCGGGTTCTTTCCCAAAGCTCTGGAGTTCTGAAGTACGTTTGCTTTTGATAGTTAGTTTATTGATTTAGGATTCTTGGCAGGAACAGATCAGCTGACATTCACATACAGGCAACAGCAAGTTTCAACATTTAGGTTTCCTCAAGAAAATTATCTAATCTATTTTAAAGAGGTTTTGAAGATGAACCCAGCATATCCATCTTATCTATGTGACCACCAGTTCCCACATACAAACCCCTAATAGTATATCAAACTCATCTCGAATCTCAATCTACTCTATCAACTTGTATGGTGAAAATCTCACAAAACTAGAATGAAAAAAGCTTCATTTGGAGTCATTTTGTTCAATTCCCGCGGAATTATGCATTACCCAAATATAGGTAAAAATTATTAATTAATCCTTCGATGAATTTAAGCATCATTCCTATAAAAAGGAAGACGCTTTCAACTAAAGATAATATGGAATGCATTCGAGAACTCATACTTTTTCAACCTCATTTGAGATGGGCTCTGAAGGCTCGTTGACATGATCATCAGGAAGTGGCTCTGGGGACTTTCTAATGGGACTGTCTTCACGAACAACCGGATCTTTCGAGCTTTCCTCCGGGACCTCTTCGATCTTCTCGACACTTGCCTCCATTGATTCAGCAACTGATAACTGGGAAAAAATTGGTTATATTTTCTATTAGTCAAATTGTTAATACCAAAAATTGACCAATTCAATTCATAAGATTAGCCCAAGCTAATTCCAGTTGATACTTTTCAATTTTCAAACGTATGACGCCGTTGCAAAAAACTCGTTTGTGGGTTCATACTCTTCCACATTTTACCCGCCTTCCATTCCAGGATGTTTGCCCTCCTTTTACCCTAATAATTAATCTCTACTCTCCGGCCCCTATATTTTTTGATTATATATAAGTAGTTGAATTTATACCAGTGTTTATCAAGACAGGTGTGTGAGACGAATTAATCCATTTCAGGAGGCTTAGATTCTGAATACTGTCTAAAGGTAGAGAATCGAACCTATCAGCAGTTAAGGTAGCCCATTCGGTAGACTAAACTTATCAACCTTAATTTATTCATAATTTTCTCTGGCCATGGTTCAAAAACATGTCGTCAGGAATTTGAAAAAAATGCTTTTGCAAATAAACATACTGCACCAAGTGCCCGAAGATCAGAAGCAGATCCGCGAGGAAGGGATTCCAAGAGCTCTCTAAGGGAGGCGCGGAGGATTTCCGCATATTCTTCGAGACTATTCGCATTCGATTCACCATTCTGCACTGGCGACTCCTTGATAGCAATCATTGATGGCATCTAATAAAGACGATGACACGATGCATAATTATGATAAAAAATAATTATATATTTATAAATTGCGTAAAATTGCGAAATAGCATAGCCCGTAATCTGCGGTTTATTTGAGCCGAAGATCTGGTTTTAAAAGAAGTGATTATTAAATTGCAAATCAGAATTCCCAATAAATTATTATTTAAAATTCAATTCATGATAAATTGGGTTTCTCCACCTTTAATTGGCCCTTTTTAACTGTTTGTTCTGAAAGCATCTTCCGCTCCCACTCACCGTTCTCGTCGTCCACAAATCTTTCCTTTCTATCTCGCTTTCAACACACATGAAATAGCACCGCATGACACAGTTCGCAAAAGTCTGGACCCTGGTTACATCATGGCCCAACTAAATTCTGCACACCCTCAAACCTTAGAACGATTAATTTTTTTTAATAGCTATTCACGGTTTCAGATGCAATGGTTTTGGAGGTTCTGAGGATCTATTGCTTTCTCTCTTTCACATGAAATACTCCAATGTTTTTTTCTAATTACTCTAAATGAACCTGCAAGAAGAAGATTTTCAACACTCAGTTATCACGCCAGACTTCCACCAATAGGTTGGCGATGGACGTTGTACCCCTGATTTCTATCTTAACTACAGCTCAAAATCTGTGTAACCCTTTCCCTCAACGGTAATGTTCAAATAACTTACAATTGCAACAATTTTATTGGCATACCTGAACGGATTTTGACGAATTTGCCGATGGGGATTTACGAGTAGGCGTCGAAGCTATTGTCACTTTCTTTATAATAGGCGTGCTGGTTTTGCACGAAGGCGCACCCTTCCTCAATGAACCCTTGATCGGTGAACCAGCATTAGTTGCTCCAGTAGCTACCCGGGACTGCAAAAAAGATTAGGATTTCCTTAAAATAACAACTAAGCTTATTTGAAGAATAATGAATAAAAGAAATTGAAAAATATGCCACCCACCCACCCAATCATATACTTTTTCTACAGTTAATTAATTCCACCTCTAAATAACATTTTGTCAGAATGTCTTTATTTACTCCTCTAAGCTTCTTTAAAGGCTCTAGGAAGCCTTGAGCTCTTGAACTAGGAATGCTGGAGAGTTTTTTAATCATTTTTGATAGCCTTGAGGAATTACTTCATTTACGGTTGTCAAACTTGCCCTGAAATCACCTTCCTCCATGGGGCCACAAGGATGTCTAGATGTCTCTATTGCTCTAACTCCCATAATCTTCTTGGAGGCCTTTTCTCGAACTTTAGAGAAACTCCTTCTTCTCAACAATGGCCTGTTTCATTTAAAAGGACGCCATCACTCACTACGGTCTTCAACATACCTTTGTTCACTCTGAACTCTGCACACTCATAATCTGGGAACTATTGTTGACCCTACCATTAGGTGAAACTCATTGGTCCTTGGCTAACAAAGTAGCTTGGTAAATGTATGGCATCATTATGACAAGTCATTCAATTGTTCATTTATGACATGAACGCATTCACTAAGTCAAAGGACTCCTCTCTATTCTTTCCCCATTTCTGAAGTAATTTAATACTCTAGGAGTTTCTGAGGTACTTCCTGAAGGAATACAAGTAGAATGTAAAATTAAAGACTGAGGACTTGTTAAACACTTCTGATGGTTTTCAAACCTATTTAAGTTATTCAACTTTTTAACGCCCTGCAGGACCGTATGTTTCTCCCTCAAAAAAACGCTCAACTGGTACTAGGCTTGTAACGGAAGGCAAAATTGCCGTTTGAAACATGTTCAATTCGTGACTATAGCCCTCCCCCCCTGATGCACCACCAAAGCTTATCACGTCGGCGGCATCATTCTGCTGCTGTGAGACACACTCGTGAGTGCGGTTTGGTGCATTTATCACAAAAAAATAATAACGATTCGGGCGTTATGGATTAATGTCTAAATCACATTGGTCGTCGAATAATTGCCACTAATTTAGATAATAATCTACCTCATATGTCAACAAAAAATTTCAACTTTGAGGTATTGCGAAATAGCGGTACGAGGTTTCCCAAAAGTCTTACCAATGAGTGTCGGCTCTTATTCAAAAAGCTATTATTCGAACTCTGCAATTGTGCGCGCGTAGCCAATCTCTCGCAACTTTCGTTGAATTCATTAATCTTTGCCATAATCACCTCTCGTGTATGCTTCAAAGCCTAATATAAGGTAAAACATGTATCTTTTATCTAATGGCATACTAACAAAATAGAGGTTCTTTTGGAACCATATTCTCAGCTTAACAATCATCAATGAAAAAGTACGATTTATTGACGAAATCACCAAGACGCTTTTCATAAGTGATATAATGTTTTCTTACCTCAATTTCACATATTCAACTGTTGACGTTTAATGCGACAGTGTTCACGTTTTCAATAGCCTTTCTGGAAATTGGCATTATTTAGGCACGGGGTATGAGGTAGACTTACCTCCGTGTGAATCATTCTGGGCAAAATATACTCTTACGGCATAAAAATGGTCTATAAACCTGCAGTTAACTTCTGTCTTCAAGCTGCCATGACCCGACTATCCTTCTTATTTCACCACTTTCACATTGCTCATCTTACCTTCTCCTCTACCTCTATGTCTGCCTGTTTTACATTCGTGAATCACTCTTCTGTTCCCCAACAACCCCAGCCCCCATCTCGCCTTTTTGTCACTGATATTTCTCCCCTCTGTGAAGCCCGAAGTCAACTCAGGGGCTAATAATAACCACCAAAATCCTGCCATTTTATATAAATAAATATTTATTTTGATTCCTTTATCTTACGATTTTTCCGCCTAAGCCCATAATGAAATTCATGCTTTCATTGATAATACCGAGTAACGCACTTTTCTGCACTTTAGGATGTAGGTGGTAAAGGTACCAAAAATTACGAAAATACTTACGCTAATACTGTTGCAAGAATTTATGAACTGCTTGATTCTTCCAATTATCAGCTCCTTAAAGAAAATGGTCTTTCTCTCAACGGTCTGCCTTGGGGTTAAGTCACTTTGATTTCTTTGCACTACCATAAAATACTCCACCCCACAAGCCGCGCAAACTCGGATGGAGTGGAAGGTTTGAACAGTACCATCAGGGAGGGTTACAATGCGACCAACTTGAGATTGATGTCTCCTCTGTAGAGATCTATTCATAGCTACGATGTAGAGCCGCCTATGGGCCAACCTCTTAACCTCGTGCATATCCTAATAAGTGCGTAATGTGCTTAGTTCTTCACATAAAGGAAACACACACACACACACTTACTTTCGGGTCTACTAGTGATTTGATCCTATTAATTATGGCTTGAGGGCATTCGCTTGTGCTTGAATTTTCCTAGGAAGTCGGCAGTGTTAACATTATCATTAACGAATCTTACAATGGGTTCTTCTTGCACTATTTGATCCTCTTCACAGGTATTGTTCGCAACTTCGTGTTTATTGCCCTCCACCGACGTGGTAAACTGGTTAAAAGTGGGTATTGTTTTTATGACAGTGGTTGTGGGAGTTGAAAAAAATCAATATTATACATTCTTTTGCATATAGATTGCGGGGTGTGCGATAGACTTACCTCCACGTGGTGAACCCTGGGCAACGTATATGCATACAGAAAAAATGTCTATTAACCGGCAGTTCACTTCTGACTTCAAAGCACCATAACCCCACTGGATGCCATATTCCACCCCTTCCACAGTACTCTTCTTACCTTCAAACTACCATGACCACTTTCACAGTACTCATCTTACCTTTATCATATTCCACCCCTTCCACAGTACTCTTCTTACCTTCTTCTCTACCTTTGTGTCTGTCTACCTCTTTTACATCTGTGAATCACTCTAATATCCCCCATCCCTCGACTATCTGCTACTTTCATTAACCTTCCCTCTGTGAAGCCCGAAGTCAGCCAAATGGCTAATGATAGCTATCAAAACGCCTCCCATTTGAAATAAATAAATATTACGATTACCATCTGCATCTACTAACTCATCCCTTTCACGACTATCTTGGTTGTAAAATCCCTTTTAACTTCATATCCTGAGCCGCTCCAGATTGATTATTCGGCTCGATATCAGAGAAGCCTCAAGATCTACGTTCATGTAATCTAAATTGCACCTGTACGGATACGACACCCAACTCAGTGAGTCAGTTTTGACCTGATTGGTGAAACCTCTTTTTTTCGTCTAGCCGTAATAGGCTAGCATAAATCGCCAAGATGATGATCTCGCTTTCACCTTTTCTGATTACAAATGTCCCATCTCCCTCCCTCCCTCTCTCACCCAATCTACTCCATTAACATAATGATGATTATTTGAGCATAGGTGTATCTGCGTAATAGCCAAGTAACAATATTACTTATTTGCGGGCGTAACATACCCTATATGCCACTCCATAGTTAGTTTGTACGTACTCATGAGCTTCCTCGCTGTTCACCTCAGAAGGTAAGGCGGGTTCTTCGGGAATATCGTTACCCATAATATCACTTGTAAAACTTCGAGATTAGGGAAAAATTAAAAAAATGCAAATCGCTTCTTTCTTATGCTAAAGGCAGGAAAAATTTAAAATTTGCAATGTAAGGACTTTACAAAATTCGAAAGTACAAATCAACGTGGAAATATTTAGTAAATTTTAAATTAACTTGAAACTTCTGTAACTTATGAGAAAATAGTAAAGCTTCGTTATTTGCTGAAGAATTTATCATCTTGAATGGAGTTGTTCCTGAGCATCAATTTTATGAAGGGAGGTCTAGCCGTTCCCGTTGACTAAATAGTCACCTATATCATTCCATTCTGAATGTGTCCAATCCCCCCCCCCTCCCCAAAAATGATTCTAGAAACTTTTATTTAGATTGCTCAAATGGAAATGCACATTTTCTATCAGTTTCTTGCCCATTACCTTCCTCTGTGCAATTCCTAAGCCTACGTTAAGGCTGTTTCAAATAAATGCGGAGGAATTGTCTGATTTGCTAAAACTTTTAACCCATGAATATCAACCGCGTGACCTCTGACCGAGTAGAACTTCTATTTCCATTACAATATGCATTTTAAAATGATATTCAAGGTACTTTCCATTTACTCGACTTTGTGAAATGTGAATAACATCAAATTAACACCTCTTCTATAGTGATATTTTTAATCAAGTTTCTTTTTGTACTAAAGCTTAACTATCAATTAATCATCGGAATACACATTTTGGAGAAAATAGCAATCAATGATTTGGAGGAAACACTGGAAACCCTAACATCCATTCACCTTATTATTTGCACAAATGACAAGAAAAGAGTACTCACTTACCCCTTGACCTTCAATGCAGAGAGAAATCTCGTCACCGCAAATAAGCCACAAATTCAGGCAACTGATTTATCAATTAAAGAGCTCTAATTAACGATAATCGAACGTAGCTCTGATCTCACATAAAGCTCCAAAATGACTATTTAAAATCGTATTTTTTTCCATTTGAAAACATAATATGAATCATTTAACTAATGACTATATCACAGTGAGTCCTCTTTTTTATCCACTAAATGCAAATCATAGGTCATAGGTCCATTGGTTAAAAGTGCATGATTATTTGGCCAACTCTACTTGCAAATTTCAAGTAAAATAAAATAATGTTTAAGAAAAAAAAAGCTATTTTCAAAGCAATTTTAAAGGCGCCCCTCTACATGATGGCAAGTCTGAAACACTTATGGTGAATTCGAATCAATTGCCGAGTAGTATATATTTAATAAATGGAAACTACGAATCTTTAAAGGTCAGCAGGGATACCTCAGGGAGATCTATTATAGGAATGTAAGGTATATAGTTCATTAAAATGTTTACCAAGCCTACACAAACACGAGACAGAAGAGAAGTCGCAGAATTGTCTTTCGGTTGTAATTAAAATTGAAGCATGATATTGCGGAACATATGCCCTCCTTCCCAAATATACTGACTTTCTACACCTGCTTTGAAGGTTAAGCTCCAGCCGAAAAGCAAAAATTCTCTTGGAATAAGGTTTGCAAATAACCAGTAGACTTTGACCACAATATGAACTATATGGTGATCTTCCCAACTGAACTAACCTACCCCCCGCCCCACCCACCAATAATAGATATATAGCTATATAAACTGAGCTTTCGATAAACAAAAAAATAAATGTTCCTGCTACTTTACAAAAGAATGGAATATTTGACGGCCTTGTCTAATTCAACTATCCCACTGTAGGTACTTTCGAAAGCAAGTGATCTGTGGAATGCGTACAATAAGATTATAAACTTATTCATTTTAGTAAGAATCGATCAAATCGTTGTGTGTTCGGTTTACAAGAACGCACGCAATTGCCCAAAGCTATAAACGATTAAAAATTCATAAAATTTCAGAAACTTAGATTCTCACCTTTTGAATAGTGTTCACTTCAGTTTGGATGAATTCAATATTTTGTGATCACTAATCCCCCCAAGAAATTTTGGAAATAGTTATTCATTTTTAGAAAAAACGCTACTGGATTCAGCTAGAAACTAGCCTGAAATTGAAGTCGAAATGTCAGACAGAATGACGGCAAAACTTGAAGATATTATGGCCTATGATAGGCTTTCATCAACTTCCACTAATTCATATGTAAATTTTTCAAATCCTAACTAATAAAATATTTCATCTGCTTATTTTAGGAAACCGATAGTAATGTAGACAGGGAGAATCTGTTAAAACGACGTCACAACATGCAACTCATTTACGATGTTGTAAAGAAAATGTGCGATACGAAATGCGAAGTTGCCTTCATTTTTGATCCGGCACATCCCTGTAAGCTTGTTGATTATCCAGAACGCGACGAGGAAGCAATTAGGAGGTGGAACGAGGCCATTCAGTACATTAGAGATCCAAGACATACTGTCTTAAAGCTAAATTCTACCCCTATTTCAACAGATGAATCTGTAAAACGCTTTAATTCATATAATTCATCTACTTCTTCATCTGAAAAAATTGGAAAGAGCTTGCATACAATGCGTTTTGCTAATAATGTGAGTGTATTTAGCATACTTTTGAAGGTTTTCGTGTAGTTAATATCTTTGCTTTCGAAAGATCCGGCTCTCTATGTATGCACAATGCATATTCTTCGGGATAAACTGATCGGTCAACCAAAATCAAATGGCAATATCGGGAATTCCGAGGTTAATCGTGTCCAACAGGTTAATAAGATTGAAAAGGAAAGCTGTGAATCACCTATGCCCACGTGGCTTAAAAGAGTAAGAGATGATTTTGTTAATTGACGGCAAAACTTATCTAACTTATTTCAGCTGGAGTATATGGCTTCTGATGTAAAACCATTCAAAATGCCATTCACACATCTAGTAAGTACACGCTTTTACCAACTTATGAAAATTTGCAGATGCCTCCACACCCCGAGGAGATCTTTCAAACCCTAGGGGATTCACAAGAAACTTCAACTAAAAGCGATCGCTTTGATGAGTATTTACAGGAGGATGACCAATTATTTGATTCATCATCTCAAAAGTCGTTGTTTTCCTCCACTTTGCTAACCGGAAGAGATGATAATGACAATGGTAGTCAGGATCGCGACGAACAGTCACCTATTACGCGTCTGGTAATTTCACCATAGCTTAGTTGGCATTTTGAGTACACTTTTCTTTAGTTGGAGAAGCTAAGAATAAACGCAAATGCGGAAGAGCTGAAGTTAAGAGATAATATGATGCCTCACACACCATCGTCGAGCACATCGACTGGGGAATTTAATGTCAAAACAGATACCCCCTTGACGGCAGCCGTAAGCTTCAATGGTTCACGCCTAATTAATCCCCTTTTCCTTCTATAGTATAAGGCATCTGGTCTTAATATTTGCAAGACGAAAAAAGACCAACAGCCGCCAAATAAGGCCTTATTTGTTGATTATTTGCGTAAGATGGATGGAGAATCAAAACAGGATACAAGTGACTCGACGCTAATAGGAAACAACTTTATGGGACCACAAGAAATTGGTTACCAATGTCCATGTTATTTTGAAAAATATATTGATACCACGACAAATCTTGATGTAAGTTAAATTAATCTCTAATGTTTCCTTATTACGTTTAGCAATTGAGCGATTTGTGCTCAAAGATGCAAAAAAAACTGCAGTTGTTACGGGGTTCTAGATCTAATTCACACCAAACACCAACCAACAAGGAAGAACGGAAAAATTCACCTTCACTGGATTTTGTTGTAGGTTAACTTTTAGAGCACAAATGATGATTGCTCACTTATTTAGTCAAACATCAACAATTACGGTGATGCTGGCATCGACAGACAAGTTACAACTAAACCTCCCGTGAGCGTGAGTTATTTTAATCTAATCATATCTTGATAGAAGATTTGTTAACATGTGATGATTAAATTACTTTCCAGGTCAGAGCTTCTCAGTCAAACCAGAGATCGGAAAGGACTGCGCAAGAGTTCATTGGTAAGCTCAATTCAATTTAGTGTGGGTACTTATTGCTTCGTTAAATATTCATGTGGGATGTTATTTCATTTCAGCTGACGCAATAGCGGCTGCGAGGCGATCAAGTGTGCTTCTTCACGGAGAGTAAATTGTATCACAATCGATGTTCATTTAATTTGATATTCGTGGCTCTCTGTGTTGCCTTAAATTTGCACTGCATCTTATTAAAATTTGCTATCGGTTTCTTATTTTGTTCTCTTTTAAATATGGTAAATATTTTTTGTGTACAAGGGCAGAAAAGGGTAGGAACTTCAAAGTTATAACGAATGACGTTGAGTTTAACCAAGTAAAGTTGAACTCTACTGTCTTCAAAAGGTGTCTATAAAGTGCTTACCCGACTCTCTTATCAATCTTGAAATTCCTTCCTACCTGAGAAAGGTCTCTAGTACTTTTGGGGATTTTCCAGTTTTATTTGAAGAAACTCACAAATTTACAGCAATCCCCCACAATATAATCACTTCTTCTACACCCGAGCGCCCTTAGTCTGTGGGTATTCTAGTTTCTAATCCGTTATAAGTCGATTCCTATACTTAATTCTTAAAATTTCTAGAATTTTTAACTATAATTACCATTTGTTAGTGTGGGTTTCACACGATGCTAATATGGAAAATGTAATGTAGTGCTTTTGCGCTCGAACACTTTGGAACGTCAATCTCACTAGGGAGAAAATGAGGTCACAGGTGAAGAGATCTCTCGATCAATAACCAATAGTCATTACAGAGCACAGTAGTTTCATTGTCTCTTCTAAAATTCTCACAGTAAAGTCGGTTTTTTCACGGTTTTGAATTAGTTTTCTCCGGTAATCCCTCATTTACTGACAGTCAAGAATTATATTTCACCATTCGTTACTTTGCTTACTTTGCCACCTTAGTAAAGCCTGACTAACACAGAAATCTCTATGCCAGATCCTCCTACAACTAGCTAGACTCTCAGAACCAACTAAGCATAGCCCAGCTATAAAAGGAAACAGACGTGTTGCACGGAGCACGTTTATTCAGTGGGTATATTACAGATAAAGTGTACACGCAGGGAGCTTAATCAGATCAGGATGGGGGATTAGGTTAAACAAACGGAGGTTAATGATTGGTCACTGTTTGTACGGTCGCACCTCCCAATCCTGGCGTGCAAGCATGCAATGACGTGTCCCACACTTCTGTTTCTTACATCATGTTCAAATTTCTCCCTGACTCACTCTAAAACCATATTGAACCGTATTTGCTAAGGCGATTGGTCGATTTGTCAACTTCCGCTTTCCATTGGCAACTTGATGGGCGGCTGCAAGAACGTTCGGAAGTCAGCCATTTGAATTCAGCCTTTATTTTCAAATGCGATCGATTTTAGTGAAAAGGCATATTGGAGTAATTTTATCGAACATTCTACCGGAGGTTGCTGCGCCATTGAGCCATGAATTATGCTAAGTATTCACTATGTAAAGATCACCTAGTTTGCAATGGCTTCCAGGATTAGCTACCCCCATCTTAACGATAGGGAGGAAACGGACACGTTGCGTGGAGCACGTTTAGTTGGGCTGTGCTTTACTGGCAGAGAGCTTAGTAATTACGATACAATGTGATTATTATTATGCTAAGCAGGGATTATTGATCGGCGGTTGTCTCCTTTACTTACTCCACTACGTGACAAGTAACATGGCCGCACCTTCGAGTCTCTCTAGATGCGGATGGCATTTCTTTATTCAGCATGACGGTGTTGTACACACCACAACTCTGAGTTACAAAATAAAAATACGCCTGTAGCGGATTGCTACACTAGTAAAGCCTGACCGACTCAGAAATCTCTATGGCAGATTCTCCTACATCTAGCTAAACTCCCAGAACCAGCTAAGCTATAGCCCAGCTATGAAAGGAAACAGACGTGTAGCA